TTCCTCGTTTTTAACTACAAGAAGTTTCACTCCATTGTTCTCATAGCTATGTGTGATGCTGAATACCGTTTTAATTGTGTTGATGGTATTGAAGCAGGATGATAGATTGACTCTGGAGCAATTGAAAACACATAATTTGTGTCTGCATTGCTAAATGGTGAGACCAAAGGGTCTAAATAGTATTAACATACTTCATACACTGCTGCAACTTGGGTAATGTCATGAATTTTTCAGGTAGGGTACTGCTCCTTCCACCAAAGGCCTTGACTAAGAATGGCAAAAGCATGCCACACTGCATTTTTGGTGATGAGGCTCTCTCTCAGAAAACCTGGCAGATGAGACCTTACCCTGGAAAATCCCTGAATTCCATATGAAAGGAAAGTTTAAATACAGGCTATCTAGATGTAGAATAACAATAGAAAATGCATTTGGTAAGAATAATATGATAATTAATTTTTCAGCAAATATGTAACTGGAAAATGATCAAAGTTAAAATGCTTTAATTTTTTTCAGGTATCATGGTTTCAAAGTGGAGGTTATTCAAAAGTACAACTGATGCTGAGCCTACAAATGTAGTAAAAATGAGTAAAGCTATTTGTGTACACCACAGCTTTTTAAGGCGAATCAATGCTTCCATTTACACACCACCAGACTTCGCAGATTCTGTTAATAAAAATTGTCAAATCAGCGATGGCTTAAGGCCGGCTAAAGAAGAAATGGCTGCTCTTCATACACTTACTCCAAATTCTAGGAACCAAACAAAATCAGCCCTAAGGGTTCGGGATGACTTTGCAAATTTTTTGGCTTCAACTCCTGGTGAATTGTCATGGCATCAAAATTATGTACTCCACACTTATTAGGCATCACATGAACACACATTTATTTTGCTTAGAATGTAATATTTTGAAATAATTTTTGTGGCATAGCCAATGCACAAAGCTGGTCATAAATTTACCATAGTCAGCATTATTCATTTTTTTGCAATTCCACTGTTCGTACAGTCATTGAACACTGAAATGTTAACATAACAGGACTAAACTTGTGAGCAGACTATACCACAGTATACTATAAATAGCATGAACTATCAGTGTTGTCCACTAGGAAATTCAAGGTTAAAAAGAATATCTTGAATGGTCTTCTTTGCTTTTGCTCTGCTAAAAGCAGTGGGCAGGTTCCTAATTTCTTCGGCAACACTCATGCCAAAATAATCGTACTCATCATGAGGTTTGGCAGCCATCTTTGAAGATCTATTCTTGAATGTCTCCAAACAATCTATCAATTTTTTTTTGGTAAAAAGAAAGCTCGCTTCCTGCCTTTTTGCTTTCTTGTGGCAGTGTTTGACCCAGTTGGCTTTGCAGGGCTGGTGAAGGGCTCCTATAACTTCCATATTCACTGAATATTTTCAAGTGGAGGGCTTTCAGCAGTTAGTATATCTTCATCTTGGTAATCGTTCAACATGGTGAGAAGTGGAGGTACGTGGTTGACTTTCAAGGCAGCTAATAGAAACATTGCTGACAGTCCTAAGCATTAAAAAACGTAAAAGTATGATTTTAAGGAGTTGTTTGAAACTGTAACATAAACTACACTGATAAAACTCACTTTTGTCTTCGCACAAAGTCATCTAACCATGTCATAATGCTCCAGAACTTCCAATTTCGTGTTGTAGGTAACAGATATAATAGCTACATCATTTTTCTCTTTGCAGCGCCTGTATGTATATCTCAGGTTTTTCATTTTTGCCTTCAATTCACTAACTAAAGAACAAAACAGCTCACATACGAAGAAAATTGAAAAATCAGTATGTAATCATTTGCAATCATTAACTATGTAAGATTATAAATTGTATGAGAAACAATGTTATCATCAATATTGTTTCATCAACAATAATTAGTCCAACCTTTTTATTTACTTTGACTGATTACATTAAGTTTGACTGATAGCTTTCTCAATGCTTCAGAATAGCTGGAAACAAGAAGGTGCGTTGATACACATGATAAGTCACTATTTGCTGAGAGATTCATGTGCTTGAACATCAGCGGGGCTTGACTTATACTGACACCAGACATCAATATATAAAAGCTAGTCATAGCGTTTCCCGCTGGATATCTCCCCAAAACCATAGGTTGACTTCTCTACATAAGTTTTTTTCAACACATTTACCACAATTTTGCTGTACAAGGGCCATCGATCCAATGTTTTTAATGTGTACTTTTGGATTTTCAGCCTTGCAGTTAAAACAAAATTTTTCAAATAACTCAACCAATGAGATGTAAAATACCATGAACATAGGTTGTTCATGCGAGCTTGCTCCTTCATCAATTCTGTAACACGATTAAGAAAATTCATTATTGTGAAATACAACAGAGATCTAATTCTTTATAAGATAAAATACCTGACTGTATTACTTGTGGTATCTTCATCTAAATCTTCACTCCGACTAGACTCTTCAAAAGAAGTGTAGTCCATGTATGATTCTCCTTCGAAAAGCTCTTCAGCACTCCCCTGCATTCCATCGTCTATATTAATGCTGGTCACCACGGATGTATTACGATTTTCCCTGATTTCGCTTCGATATTCATTTTGCAACTTCTGGGCCTTTTTCTTCTAAGATGCTTTTGTCTTTTTATACCAGCTTAAAGTCTTTTGTAAAGACGTAAGTTTATTCTTAAGACGATGGCACGATTTACATGGAGACTGGGATCACAAATATCTTCACCAACTGCATGTAGTTCTTCTTCAAATGGCAAATAGTTTGTTTCCCGAGTGCATACTTCAACATGCCCAGCTCCATCACTACTAGATGGTACTTCCTCATCGAGAGAACATGTTTCCTTTAGCGATGGCTTATGGAGAGTATGTCGAATAATCTACAAAACGTATATCGAATTTACATGTGACAAAAGAAAAATTAACATAAACAAGCGTAAACTTAATTGTCTTCGCTTTCGATCGGTTATTTCGTTATGTAATGGTTCAGGAATCCCAGCCACGTCAATGGTTGGGATAGCATCTTTCTTCAACCTTCTTTTGACCTTGACTTGCACGCTCAAATTAAGGTCAAAACAAGAATCTTCGAAATGCGCAGAACACAGACACGAGGTACAGGAAATCTCAAAACCCGGTCTATGTTTACGCACAAAATTTACCCATTTTCTATGTCTTTGCGGCTCTGTTTCTTTTTTAGGAAACATATGCATCGACGTTTCTTCGGTTTGTGAATCATTGGCGCAACTAATTTGATTAGGTCCGCCATCAACACAGCGTTTTCCTCCGCGTTTCCTGTTGCGATTACTAGTAGAATACGCCATGTTGATATATGTGTTCAACTTTTACGTCACAAGTCATTAGCATACCGATCAAAAAGTTCGCAAAAAAAACGCTGAAAATCGTGACTTTGAACGTCCGTAAAATCGCTTTCACCAATCCAATTTCAATTATAATTGCAAATTTAAAATCACTGGAACAAGGTCTTTCAATTTAGCTAATAAAAAAGGGGGGCTAAAATTCGTATTATTAACACTTTAATGTGTAAGGAAACTCCATTCCATTTATCCTTCTTTAATTTCTCTTTATTTTACTTCCTAACTTCCTTATCATACAATCCATTTGACACCGCCTCCTTTAGTAGTAATTTAACAACTTTTTGTAAATATAATGTCTTGTCTTAACATCCTATTTGTTATTCGTCTGAAGATGTCTTGAGTAAAGACGAAATGTTACAATAAATTTAATTTTACAATTTGGTTTTTCGTCTATTTCTATGGCTATAATCAGAACTTTATGTTGGGCATTAATTTTTATCACACGAATTGGAATCCCCCTCGGCAAGTCTCTCGCTACTCTTTATCGAGTTCACTGGCTGAAACGACTTAGCGACATGCCTTTGTAACATGGCATACAGGTAGCGACCAAGCGACAGCAATAGTGTATCTCGGCTTTAGTGCCTCTCTTGCTTCTCATCGGTGTAACTACTTTCTAAGATTTTAGATCAGGCATAAATCTAACCCACTTTTTTCCGTACCATGCTATATGAGGCTTATTACATTGACCAATTCCAGCCTGGGCGGATTTTCAGCTGGGTTGGCCGTGCTGAAATTTCAGTTGGGGCCTGTTATAATAGCCTATCAAAATAGCGTCCGAAATTACATGAGAACAATTCTAGTCCAGGATGGACTGAAAATTTGTCATGTAATCGTTTCAGGCCAGGCTTAAATCACATCTAAAAATATTCACGAAAGTGTAATTGCGTACTAATTGCTTAGGAATCTTTTTCTATCGCTTGGTTTATTCTGGTGATAATATATACAGTTAGAGCATGAGTTTGATAAAAGCTACAAAGAAAACAAATTTATTTATGTTTTGAGTTTTATACATTGGTCTCACGAATTACACATATTATCTGGCCGGATTACGTATTATTGTGATGAATATTTTCGCGTTGAAGAAATACGCGAATTTGATTCTTAATCTAATCTCTAACCAACATCTCGACCATAGCGTAACATCAAAAGCTGATTACTGCATGTCCGTGTTAGCAATCAGTTTAGCTATATCAAAACGCAAAATTATTACAATGTTAAGCGATGTTCGGGTAAGGGGCTGCAATTACATGAGCCCGGTAGCCGAATTCAGGGAGGCGTTGAATAATTTTGGCAAATGGAAACGACTCAATACTTATCATCAAATAAATCTTCTCAAGCAATTTCACAATATTTTGATTTAATAACTACGCAAAACTTTTAAAATTGAAACAACCAATTTGCCATAATTTAAGGATTACAACCAGAGTGACGTGTAGGGCTCTGCAAACAGTTGTCATTTTTAACCATGAAGTTTTAGTTCCTTTCAATCCCATAAAATCATCGGCCTAGCTCACTATCCGCGCCAGCTCGTCTCCATATATTCAGGCTCTAATGCAAAGAAAAGTTGTAACAAGGTTATTTGACAAGACAGTAATGCGACAAGACACAAAGTGGCAATTTGACAAGACACAAAGCATGTTTTGAATACTCACAAAACACAAGGCAAGATAGTTTATTCTTTTATTAGGAGGATTGAGAAATCCGTAAAACAAACAATAAAAAATATACAAGAAGATTTTACAAAATGTCTGTTCTCAGTAGCTAGCGAAGGCAGCCCGTTTTTTCTCAGTCAATTTTGTGTTCAATAATGAATAAATTTAATTTTCTAAAGAAATGAATAAAAATATTGCTGAAAAATTGGAATGATAAGAACAGTGTAGGGTTAAACATTGTTAAAACGGGCTGGCTTCGTCACTCTTTTTAATATGTGCAAGTGCAAAGTAGCCAATTCCAAACATCGTTTCCTGAATGCGAGAACGTCGTGATATTTGACAACCCCAAGTTATGAAGACCAATGAAGATATTCACAATGTTCAATCTGATATCCATAAACTCGATTACATTTTCTGCGGCAAAAAAATTGATTTTTGGTAAGCATCCTCATGTTTGAATTGTGTTAACTATATTTTCCGTATGTCAAGTTTTCAACATTAGCATTTGTTGCCAGTCCTTCGTATAATGTGTTCTCTGCATTTGCGTAATCGTATTTCCCAATTTCGTCGTTTCCTTTGTCTTCGCTTAGTTCTACTGATTCGTAAATAGGGTCAGGTGTTTCGTCTACAGATTGGTAGACTGGGTTGGATGTTGCATCTACAGATTGGTACACCAGATTTGGTGATACTTCTGAAGATTGATACACTGTGTTTGGCGATGCTTCTGTAGATTGATAAGTCGGGTTTTCTGGTGATTTTATCATTTCTGAATGTTGCTCTTTCTTTTCATGAACAACTGCATTAATAATTAATTAATTAAACTAAGTAAAGTTGAAATGTTAATGTTGGTATGCACACTACATTTAGGCAAATAAAAAGATTGTTTTCCATGAGGCCCTTTTTAAAAACTGTCTTCTTGGATAAAATAACTTCGAATTAGGATAGGAAGAGTGGGCTAATGTAGCTTTTAAACATCGTGTGTAATTAATATATGAGAACCTTTGAATAAAATTAAAACTTAAAAGTGACGACATTTTTGTCTTTTGTATAAATGTAACTGCATCTGAGCATCTGATATTTGTCCTACTTTTTGTTCTCAGTATTTCTAATTTGTAAAAATTACCTTTGCTTGCTTTTCCTGTCTTGTTTACACATGGAAATCTAGACAATGAAAGACAGAAAACAAAGCTCATTATAACATCTGCAGTCATAACGATATTGGAAGCAGCAATTACAGATGTGCAAAGCCATGCTGGGAAGATGATTCACCAAGTATAGGTGCACAGGACTTTCTTAAATGATATTAAGTCGAGTTCGCTCAGTATTTGAAAATAATTAATTTTGTATACAACATTATTTTGAAATTTCTGTATGATAAATCATCAGTGCAAGCTCACTCAATATATTCCAATATTGTATAGCCATGCAGTTTTCCTGACTTCGATATCTTTCACTTTGAGCTGTAGTTATGAAAATTTTATATGCTCTCTCACGCACAGTGACAAATTCAAACTTTAATATTGATGAGTTCTGTAGTTAAATTAAATTCTCAGATTTCCCAAAAAAAGTAATATAAATACAGTGCATTCGGCGTTATCGCGAAATTTAGGATACACAATAAATAATTGCCATCATGTACCATTTGCCATGTTCTCTGCGTGTACAGAAAGCATTATAAAGTCGTACAATGAATATTAAAAGCAGGAATAACGGATGCTCGATAGTTGGGATGGTTGGGGTTGAGGCTGATATTCATTTATGCATATTCTATTTTACCTTTTTAAATTGAAATCAATCGCGATTACGGATTATATTATATGAATATAATCGTGAAACCACCTCCACCACCCAAACATCTATCTGCTGAAAAGCTTTTTGTCGTACAATATGTATACTGAAAGGAACATGAAGTGGGATAGGGAATCTAAATAGACATTTTGCTAGATTCTACGATGCATTTAAATTGACCATTATTACTATGTATTAAAATTTACCTGTGTCTTTTTTTGTAAAGAAAAAGGTTGACGACTAAGACTACCGCCATAACAATAATTAAAGTGATTGCTATGATTTCAGTTCGACGTCTCCCTTTGTTCAGTGAACTTGTTCTGTTGATTTCCTTTTTCTCTTTTGTCTCTTTTTCTTTTTGACGATCGTTTCTGTGACCATCTCCAGTGTTATTTCCATTACCGTCCCCTTTACCATTGTTATGTCTGCTGTCAATTTTTTCTATGTTGTTCTTTCCAGCTTTGTTCTTGTCATGAGTCTCGCCTCTATTTATCTTATTATTTCCGTTGTTTGCCATACTTTCATTGCTTGTCGTGATTTTATAGCCAGTCAAACTTCCATTTCCTTCTTCTTTTTTAATGCTATTTTTTAAGCCATCGTTTTCGTTAGCCTCGACAAATCCTGAATAAAAAATGAAAATTGGTGTTTTATATCTAAATTAATTCAGAAATTCTGTGAATATTTGCAGCCTGTGCACAGCTATATCTTTGAATATTATTAGTTTTATATGAGTTTTTTCAAAAATTTGAACTGACATTTTAGAGATGTTCAGCATTTTATCAAATACAACAGGCAGCACGACAAAAGTTTAAAAGCAACAATCCAATTGATGACGACATTACCATTAATCTCTCAGTATTTTTTTAATACTTGCTAGAATGTCTAAAAGTTGTATTGTAATAAGTATATATTGAACTTTTGGGTCACGCATATTCCTGGTAAGAAGATATAAAGAACATGAAATGTACCTTTAAAGGTTCCTGCATACTTTATCATCGCGCAATGCTCTGTCGCTCGAGAACTATATCTTTGCTGGCATCGAAACTTTATTTGGACGATCAAACCTTCCCAAGCTTGTGGCGTGTTTGTTAAATTCCACTAATAAGGAATAAAGTGTATTGTTATTCCGTTAAATTTTGTTATGACAAAACATCATTTATCGCAAGATAATTTAAAACGCTATGTAAATGTTTTCGATCCGATGAACTACACCATTGCAACAAAAACATATAAATAGAAATGCACAAAATAAGATATAAAAATCAAATAAAAACATTAAAATTTAACAAAAGCATAAAAACAAAATGAACAAGTGAGCAAAACAAAAACATGTATGAAAAATAAATAAAATTATTTACAATTATAATTGACATATAATGAAACTGAATCTACGTCTCCGACATGAAACCAAATGATTTATCTAAGATGAGTCAGTTTGTAAAGCCCGCCTCTGTGCTTCACCATTTGAGCAAAACGAGATATACAATTTACTAAGCCGAAGATTCGAGCTCAGAATCGAGCTCGGAATTGAGCTTGGCATCGAACTTGGAATTGAGCTCAGAACCGAGCTTTTAAGTAATTTTGAAATTTAAATCATAAATGAAGTCGTTATCCAATTTGGAATTGAACTCAGAATTGATTTTGGAAGTTGATATGTTAGATAATCTCGAATCGTTTTGCATATCAAAAGCAAACATAGGTAAAGGAGACGGCAGGCAATATACCCCTAAATTTTAGGCAGAGAAAGCCAGTAAGGAAAATTGGGCAACTCAGGTCATTTAAGATTGAAAATGATTCAACCGCCCCCTTAAAATGTTGGCTCGTACGCCCATGAAAGCAATTAAATAGTGAACATATAACGTTACAAGATAGATCTCAGAGAAAATATGTGCTGCATGTGTACGTCATAAACGCTTAATTTAAAAAAAATTATATATGGCGTAAATTGTGCAGGCATAATGGCATGCATTAATATCCACATTATTACAAATAAGTTGCGGGATGGTGCAATGTTGTCATAGCAATAAAGTTATCTTGCAACTAGTAAGAGCTTGAAACACGATGAAAGACTGAGTACTGCTAATGAGGTAAAAAGAAAGATCAACTCATATTTTGCAGAAATTATGTACCGTCATTTAAGAAGTAAATAATCAATTTCATGTCAGCCAAAATACTACAAATTTTACAGTACTGCAGTGAATTTCTTAGTTTTAAAACAAATGAAAAACTTAAATAAAAGAATTGAAAACCTGTAAACCAAAAAAGGAGTGGATTACTCGACAGAAGTAACGCAAAAAATGCTGTTTTTTGTCCATAAGTAAAATCGATTTTAACACGGAAACATAGGATTGGAATAAATGAAATTAAACCCCTGACTTGATCCCGTGAACTATTCCAAGCTCCATTCCGAGCTCGAATCCTTGGCTCGACAAGTAGGTATTCTCAAGCAAAGCATGTTACCTTCAGTGTAACTCCATAGGACCATGTATCGATTGACAAACTTTTGTCTTTCATCACAAAATTTTTCCACGTATCATTGTATAAGTATTGACTTTTATCGTGTTGTATTACGCACTCGTTTTTCTTTTGCAACATCATCTTTTTTTCACCCAAACACAAGAACTTTTCTTTAGCACACTCCTCTTTATCAAGAATTACGATAGGTTCTCCGTCTTGAAATATTTCACAACCTATGGCTGATGAAACCGGAGAGCATCAGTTCAGATAACGCACAAAGTGCTCTTGGGAAACCACAAAACACAAGTTCAATTTGCTCATTTACTAAAAAGTGGGTCGCTACTATGGAAATTATCAAGACGTTTTTACGAACAATTCGCTTCAATACATACGGTTAAAAATAATTTGTACTTCTCGCCAAGGGGTTGAAAATTGTTGTTGACAATTTTGTAGTCATTGTTTTGTTCTGCTCAAATGTTTTCACAAATCTTTAGACAAACGTCACAGAAATAGTGTATTGGAGGTTCACCTTATAAGTTACGTCAATTGACTAAACCAACGCTTGTCAATTACAATGCTCATGGAAGTGATCGTACATATATGTATGATGGCTTCCTAGCTTGAGGCATGATTCAAACAAGGGCATCGACCAATCAGAGCACGTGTTTTGGTTATGTTTGTTAGGTTATGCTCTCATATGATGTGTATATGTGTATCTTGTAAAGTGTGTGTTAACCTCCTACATGTTTAATTATAGAAATGGTTGTAAACGTAATCGATATTATTTGTAACAAGAGCTGAGGAAATAAACTGACCAATCATAGTTTAGCGTCACGTATGTAAATAGCTGTATCATTATGTGTATCAGTTAGTTGTCGTGTGCTAGTCTTCCTTCTATATGTAAATAAATGTAATAAAACCTCCAGACATCAGTGTGATCATTTATCATGGCCACTGCATCAAACCAAACAATGTTATTTAATAAAGTCACTTACTAACCTTTCTGACAGATACTTTCATTTGAATGCAGCGGTTTCCATTTTCCATTATAGTGAACGTAATACCATGAAGATGTTGTTACCTCTTCTTGGCTTTGTTCATAGGTTAGATATTTCTGGGTGTTAACGTTTTCAACATAATATGTGCGCTCAATACACTTCCATAATTGTTTCTTGTTGGTTCTCACACATTCATCCAACAATACAGAACGTGTTATGTCCCAGGACCAGGAGTGATAAGTGTCTGAAAGACACTGTAACGTCTTCCAGTGTATTATTTGACCAAATTTACTAATTATCCAATGCATTTCATCGTTTTCACTGCATTGCCCACCGGTAATGAACATGTTGCTTCCATGTTTTGATCGATGAAAACAAACACCATTATTTTCCATAAGAAATGTCGCTTGCCCATCTAACAAAAAAACGATTAAGTTCTTAGATAAAAATTTTAGCAACACTAAGACTTCTTTTTCATGAAAATAAGCTGTAATATTTGCTATTTTTAAGAATAGACTAAGCCTACTTTTACTTGACGACTTCACGCATGACAGCGGTATTTTCGCTTTAGTTTATTAAATGGTGACCTGCAGTATGTTACTGATAGCCAGTGCTTTCTTTAGATTTGTTTTAGCGATAATGTCTCCCAAATGAAAAATATCTAGGTAAAAAGATTTTTGCTTGTTTCTACTTTGCATGTTGTGTAGATCACCAAAAACAACAAAAATTGAAAGAGAGTTGGATAAGATGAATGCCAAAGCAACATATTATCTATGTTCATTTGTTTGATTGTCTATGTTGAAGGAACTAGCTACAGTTACATGATTGTGGACATCAAAAGTGGACATCAGTCAAATTTTCCGACGGACGACTGATGTTGCTATGGATTTTACGGCAGTCGACCAATTGGGAATTAGCTTTTATTTTGAAAATTTAGACCCTTCATTTTATACGGTTTATCATTTATCATCATCATATAAACACAGCCATCCACATTTCTACATTTTTGACAAACTGAACCACATAACATGTTTGTGGATGAAGATCGTCCTGCTTAGTGGAGTCCTGAGAAGGACTGTTGGTATTGATGTAGACTGTTGTTTCGACAAATTTAGCGGTAGTCATTTCAGAGTCAAGTGAAGAATAGACGTCAGGTTAGGTATTTTGTTATCTGGTTCTTACGTCATCGTATTGTGTGTACAGGAAATTTGTGGGTGTGTGGGTTTCAATTGTGTATTGATGTCGTGGATTAAGACCGCCGCACACTGGTGAACTTGCCGCGTGTATTTGTTATTCGTGACAAGTGTGATCGACAAAAGTTCCTGGTGTGCGAGAAGTTTTGAACAACATTTGTTATTTGTGACAGATAAGTCAAATATCAAACGAGTTTGATATTTTTTGTCACGAGTGACAAAAAATCGTCGTGTGCGGAAAGTAAGTAGCAAGTGCGCTGTAAATGACAAAAATGCGCACGCGCGAAATAGAGAAACCAAAATGGCAGATTTGTTGAACGCGTTGAAGTCATTGTTGGACGACGAATATCTCTCAGAGGACGAAGAAGCGCTGCTACTGCTTTTATTGCTACGAAGACGTCGCAGAAGGTTAAGGGCAGCAAATCGTAAAATATGGACTAAACAGTGGCTTTTAAGAAGAAAAACACAAGGTGTCTGTGACAATTTATTGAGAGAGCTAGCAGTAGAAGATCCTGAACAGTTCCGTCAGTATCATAGATTGGACAGGCAATCATTTGAAGATATTTTGAAGATTGTTTTTCTATACATTGTGAAACAAGACACGCAAATGAGGACAGCGTTAAAACCTCGCGAACGACTGGCGGTAACCCTGCGATTTCTTGCAACAGGTACGTAGAATTACGTATAGTGATTCAACACTTGGTCGGAGAAAGCAGTTCTCTTACTGTTTTTATTATTTTCCCATTTTAGGTGAAACATTTCGTAGTCTGTCATTCCAGTTTAGAATTGGCGAGCGTACAATTTCGAATATTTTTGAGGAAACATGCCATGCGTTGTATATCTCGTTAAAGGAAACATGTTTGGAGGCAAGTTATTAAACATTTATAACAAATATCGGCAGTATTATTAACAATATAACTGTTTACACCCATTAAGAGCTCATGTTATCATAGGCAGATGAGTCTTGACCTGAATTAAGCTCTCTAGAGATTAGTGAAGACCACATATTAATAACAGGATGTTTCAATCCACCATCTATTCGGGAAGATGTGTTATATCGTTGACTATTTGTCATATGATGGCTGATGGGGTGCATGTTGTTTTGTGCATAAGGTGTTTAAAACATATGTTGGTACATAGCTACTGGCACTATTGTGCTATGATGTGTAAGTTCCCCTGATTGAGCCTGGAATAGTATTTCATTAATTTTGCATTGTGCCAAGTGCCTTATAGTGGGCGGAAATTCAGACAACGACTGCGTGATATAATGACCAAATGCTTCATCCGGGTTATTATATTGCTCGTGAGCCATTTCCCTGCTTCTTTTTCTTGAGATGTTTTCTGCAAAACAAGTCATGAGCTTGTATTCTTGGTCAGCCTGCCTTTTTCTATTTGGCTTTATTTGTATTGGCTGTTTAGTAGTAGAAATGGGACAGTCAACCTCATTCTCAAGAGTGTTGCTTGGTGTTGCTGGATCATTAAAACCGTCATCATCGTCATCATTGCTTTGATCATCAACTTCATCAGCAATTGTTATGCACGATGGTGAATTGGAATCATCCTAGAAGCATTCAATAAATGAACATCCATTAGTTTAACATAAGCAAATTTATGATGTAATTGCTTTTATTTTCTTCAATTATAGACTCCATCTTTGTGCAGAAGAATGGAAGGCTGTTGCAGACCAATTTGAAAAAAAATGGAACTATCCTGGCTGCATTGGAGCTCTAGATGGGAAACACATTGCCATTAGATGCAAACTACAAGTTTGTCTATGTTAATGTTAGAGCAGAAGGCCGTGCAGGAGATGCTGGCGTGTATAACGAGTCTAGGTTGCGAAAAGCTGTTGTTGAAAATATTCTTGGAGTTTCATCAAAAATACGTTACCACATTGTGGGTGATGATGCTTTCCCATTGAGCAAAACAATGATGAAGCCATTACGTGACAGGAATTTAAATAAAGAGAAAAGAATCTTTAATTACAGATTGTTTTGTGCCAGACGGATAGTAGAAAATACTTTTGGGATTTTTGCCAGCAGATGGCGTGTGTTTCTAACTATGTACAATAAGATTGTGCCCTGACAAGGTTACTTATCTAATTCTAGCTGCTTGTTACTTGCATAATGATATGATAGAAAAGAATAAATCAGGTTATACAGCACCAGCAGATGTAGAGTATGACAATCATCTTGTCACACCTGGCTCATGGAGAAGAGATGCATGCATGACAAATATGAATTCATTCAACGCAGACAGAAATCCTTCTAATAGTGCCAAAATGCGACGTGAAATTCTGACGACATATTTTAACATTTGCGGAGATGTGTCATGGCAGGATAGCATTATCTAGCAGTAGCACTTACTCTTAATTATATATATATAATGCTATCCTAAATATTCATTGTTTGGGAAATTAAAATAAAACAAGAATTTCACTTACAGTATCAATACTTGAAATGGGAACTCTTGTTGCCACGAATGGAGAGAAGAACTTCAGTTTATCCAGCAGCCAGCTACCTCGCTTCGTAAGATTTTTGCGAGCGCTACCACTTGAGGAGGTTTCTTACACTCTAGTGTAAGCATTTCTCAATGCTTTTACTTTAGCCTTGACCCAATGAACTAAGTAAGAAATTGACGTGTGAGTTCCATTGCGATTATTAATTATATTTTCCAGCAAATAAATCTCTTCTCAATAGCGTGGACTGAATATAAGAACTAAAAGATTGGAGAATGACTATATAACAAACACTTATATAGTCGATATTTATTATTAACAAAAAACAACCTGTTTGCCCAAGATTTTCTGCATTCTCTTGCGTTTCGATTTTTAAATTCCGACGATCTTACATCGTAAAGACATGGATATTCAGGCCAAATATCAAGAAGCTGGTCCTCTAATATAACGTCCGCCACATGTTCAGAGGTTTGGTCTGCCATTTTGTTTTCTCAATCTCACGCGTGCTCATTTTTGTCATTTACAGCGCACTTGCTGCTTGATCTCCGCACACTGACGAAAAGGGCATGTGAGTTTACAGCTTACTGTTTTAGTATATTACAGATATGCATTGTTTCATGAATCATGATTAAGTTTCAAAGTCTGCAAACTATTTGTAGAGACTGCGCTCATTGGAGCAAGAAGGTAAATCTGCAAGAGTCGGACAACATTAGACATTGCCATGACAATCTGCGATGAGTCATTTTCTTCGGTTGAGAATATTGATGTTATGGTGTCAATTGATGTTACCTTCTTTACTTATGGAAGTCGCTGCGAGATAATTCTTTCAAGAAGCTTTAACTCTGCCTTCAGCTGGTCAAAGTTGAGGTCATTGTCGTAAAGGTGTTCAACTTTATCATTCAACTGAAACTTACGCCCGTTTGCTGCATTAATGAGCACGGTTTCGATGTTCATCAATACAGAATATGTTTTTTGATCGAAGCGCTCCTGTAACGAAGCCAAGCACGCATCAATTGCTTCAACATACTGGACAAGGTGGGCGTCCTTCGCAGTTTGGAAATGATGTTGCTCTCCATCTCCGTGTTGAAGTCGCCACGGAACTTTCTTCAGTCTTGGTTGTGTTGGATCGCCTACAAGGAAAAGCCTGTTGATAGCCTTGCTTGAAGCAACTACCTGGTCGTAAAACAAAGAGAAGTTGTCACGTTGACGCTGCAAGTTTGTCTTCAAGGCATTTATGCAAGTAACAGTTCTTTGTGCAGTTATTGAAGGCTTCTGCAAGGTAGTTGCCCCTTGTTCACACACGCTAAAGATATTCTGCGCAAAAGTTAAACCAAAGTACGAGGAAAACTTCTTCAATAGGCTGGCCATACCCGATGCTGTGTCACGAACGGAGGACTTGCAAGATTCTTTGGCAATGCTAAGTAATGCAGAGTAGAAGGCTTCGTAATTGTGCAGGAGAGCTGAGATGGCTTTGGTTCTTACTGTCCATCGAGTTGGACACAGCAAATGTGGATTCTCAACTTGCGTGCCGCAGTCTTCAATCTCTTTGGCAATAAGCTGGTATTGCGCCATTCGTGTTGGCGCAATACCAGCTTATTCAACGTATCGCTGATAATCCCGCTCTCCTTTTTACAATTACCCAAAGCCAAGTCAAGACTGTGGTTACCGCAATGAATGTACAGGGCGTGAGGATTCTCAGAAGATATTTGGGCAGCAACCCCACTTCTGCCTCCAGCCATATTTGCTGCTACGTCATAAGTTTGCCATCAAAAGTCGTCTATCGTCGAACTGCATCACAACAATATGTCCTTCAGCAAAGTGGTGATTATTTCAGCATCGGTTTTCTCTAGCTCGTACATTCCGAGGAAATCTTCGTGGTTGGACAAGTCGGTTCTAGATATCCATTGCAAAACACATGTTACTTGTTCCTCGTTGCTTAGTCTGCAATTAGGCTAAATAATTGTGATTCCTTACGGATGTCTGCCACTATAGATCTCAGGGCTGCATTGCCCATCATATTAATCAACTCGTTTATGACGTCGTGACTGAGATATCTTCCGTTGTCAATCCACTCCAACAAATCAGGTACACCCTCAAGGTCTTGACGCATCGCCCTTTTACATAAGTAGCAGGCAATGGTGCCTTTTGTCAAGCAGTATGTGTCCCATGTATATTTCAAAAATATAGAAGACGGACAAGTTCGTACATTCGACGATCCTCCTGTACTGATTTGCTTTCTAGACGTGTATGTTATTTCTTCGAGGGTAGGATGGTAAGGCTGTCGGCCTGTACAGCACAAATGCTTAAAATCGAGTCCTAGCAAACATTCCGTTGACTCAATTTGCATAGCTCCTACCAATAGGGCGGTAGTCGTGGAACTTGTCAAAGACGCATACGTTAGGTTTTGAGAAGGTGTGTGATCTGGTTCGGTCGGCGGCGCGAGTATTTTCTATGAAGACGATGTAGAGTCAGAATCACCGAATTTTGGTTTGGAATGAGAATGAGGAGATAAACACGTTGATGGAGTTTCTGTAGCTAACGGCAGTGTCAAATTAGACCTAGAGTCGATGTTTTGGTCAACAACGTTATCTGCTGGAGCACTACCAAAAAAACTCGTCAGTTTTCCCATCTTTTTAGCTGTTTCTACCAGCTCTTTTTCCTTTTCTCATTTTCGCCTAGCAGCTCTAGGCATGATGATTTTGAGTAGAAGTGATTTAAACAGCAAAATTTTCAATTATTATGATTATGAATTTTCAACAGTTTTGTAGGACCAATGGCCTGAAAGACAATACGACGGGAGCAATGCGTTGCCGTAGAATTTATAGTCTCATGTGGACCATAAATTGCTACTTCTCATTGGTTAATTAAGTTACTGGGTGGACGTCTGCGAAGACAACCCCAATCGACAAACGCGATTTTTGATCCATCTGGGTAATCAAGGTCAAAAACGAAGCTATAGCTGATTTCGCATGATGCCGACAGACTTTGCTCTACTCTCGGGCCCTATTTGTATCTAAGAAAAAATTCTTCAGTCCAATTTCACCAAAATCAAGGGCATTTCTATACCATGAAAAAGGGAACATTTTTCCCTGTTGCAAAAAGTGTGTGTGTGGGGGGCACTTGCCCCCAATGCCCCCCGGTTCCGCGGCCTCTGCCAACTTTCAAATGTAAGCCATTGCATATAGAGCTGTTGTATTACATTTTGTCCAGTCTTAGTCAATGTTGTGTTTTGTCAGGAAGGGTGGCATTCAGAGCAGCTTATTTTGTAAACTGCACCTTGTCGTTCGTTTGGTTGTTCTTTCTCCTTGATGCTCGTTAGTACTTGTCGTAGCGTTGTGATTGGTTTATGTGCTACACGTATGTTGTTTGGTTGTAAGATACGCGAGATGGTCTCAGACGTACCTTTGATATAATAAATACTGTATACTATATAATACTTTATACAGATATACGCTTATACTTTAAAAAAAGTTCATGCTATACGAAAAAACAACGCTTCGACAATCTTATTTTCGTTTAAAGCCAGATCCTTTAAAGCTAGTGCAGTCTTATTTAATTATATGCTTTGAAAAACGTCTTTAAAGTCAAAGCATAACAACTAATTAATTCACAATGTACTTATGAAGACAAAGTGTTCCCAAGAGGTAACCAATAGTAATAACGGAAAGATGGCCTTTTGACCTTAAAAAACAACAAATACAGTTCGTGGTTGGCCGAACTTTGCTGAAACCGTGAAACATAGTCGATATAACATATTATGAAATAGCACAAATTGATAATATATCAGTGTTTTTACATCTCATCTCACATTATTTTACGTTGTCCTGGCAAGCCTGTCGGCAATGATAATACTTTTTTGGCTTTCATCCTTCCTTTGAACAAGAAATTTGGGAAAAGTTGTAATGCCGACACGGAGAATATCATCACTTGTGTACAAGTTGAAAATGTATAAAAATCGCTTAAGCTCTGCTTAGAGTTTGATCGTATACCATTCCACTGAATTTTTATCAAGAATATCAAATCTGACGTATTAGGAGTTAAATATATCGAAGGTCATTTTACGAGATATCCGATGTCTGAGATCACTTACCTGTAGCATACAACAAGAGGTCCGTCTTAACACATTCGCCATTTTTACCCCGCGTCATTACGAACGTTTCATGCTTTGTACATGTGCAGTAGTTACAGGTTGAATTAAAGCAAACTGCTTTTGATATTTTACACCCAAATATGTTGGTGAATTTGTCATACTTTCCTCGAACGATTTCAACTTCCGTGCCTATGAGTACGTGTATCTTCAGCAACGCAAGAACAGCTAATGCGATCAAATATTTCATATTTCTGAACAAAAAGTCAAGAATTTTCTTTCTATAATTATTATTTTGTCATAGAAAGTTGATACTTATATCAATTTTCCATGCTTATGGCATGACTTCCTGCACTTTAATAAAATAAATGTTCCAATCAACAGGCGTTAGAGTTTTATTGCTTTTGACAAATAAACACTGAAATAATTCACTTCCCACGCACTCAAAACATGTGCACATGACGCAAAAACTGCTTTGTTTCACTTTGTCATTCCCACACAAAAAAGAAGTTTGCAACTGGAAGTACAGTGGCGCTTGATTTTTTATCAGGTAAAAGTGAAAACAACCGAATGTCACAAAATACAACTGTTCTGATCTTGCCTCAAACAAGGAATGACTAAAGTTGCACTTTTTACAGATTTTCATTTGATCTCTTATCACTAGTTAATGATTAATTATTTTATTTATACCTTATAATCAGTGAATAATTTAACTTCCGTTATTGACCGGATGGATTTCCGTGCGGAAAAATACTTTTAAGTACAGACCGATCTAAACGGTAAATAGCATACTCATTTTTTTATTATGAAGAAATTTGCGTTGCAAAATAGCCGATGCAACTTGATTTGAGACTAAAGTTGCATTGTTTTCTACGAAATTCATTTCGTCTGGATAGTAAGGTTCAGTCTTACTATAATAATTTTCATCTAAATACACTTTGCTTTCTTGTTAAGCAATTTGCGTCACTTTTAAATCATATTTGAAGATTTACATTTCACTTCGTAAACAAATACATTGCAAAAAGTATCACCTTTGGCCCTATGGACAGATAACGCAAAAAGCTGCGTTATCTGTCCATAGGTAGAAATGGGTAGAAATGAATTAAACTGCACCCACTGATATATATAAAGACTGGATAACGCAACCTAATTATGGTGCTTAGAAAACTTTGAAGCCAACATTTGACAACAGCGGCCATAATGGACTATCCACTTCTAGTATATATTTTATAATGAATTTTTATCAAATTTTGTATTCTTGTTAATTTCTCTTCCAGAAATCATGCCAAATCTCAGAAATCAGGGAAAATATTGAAGAAGATAGCTCTTTGAATGGGGGGCTTAGCCCCCCATTTTAATTTTTGAGAGGCTGCAGCCCCCTTATGCCCCCTTTTCCGCTGCCCATGCTAAAAAATCAACTGAAGCTTTAATGAAATAAAAAATCGATAAAAAAAGAAAAGCGCAATATGGCGTAGTTAGCTCGAATTTTTTTTCCTGTTATGCCAATTTAGTTTACTCACGTACAACAAAGCCAAACGATTTCTAAAAAAGTGATAAGTTTTGAAAAATAAAACACAAAATAACACCAAAATAGACATGGTGACCACGCCACTCTTAGTTTATATATACTTCCTGCACGAAAAACAATATTTTGTTTTCTAAACATTCTTTTATATCTTTAGTTGGTTTTTGCCCTTAAATATGCATATATGGCAAGCGTCGAATAAGAACGTCCACCAGGGCTTAGTCTGTCTGCAAATGTCGTTAACGCTCGTCGTAGATAAAATTTGGAACCTTTAGGAGATCATACGCAATTCATGTCAACGTAATTTTCTTCGTCTATCTTCTTTCCTTCTTTCAACGAAAGATTTTTTGAATTGTTTACTCTAATGAATGTGTCATTGGCATAATAATGTCCCTCAGTATACAAAGTTTTTATCATAGCATCACGTGATATTGTTGAAAGGTAGTTTTGGGGAGAAGGCTGGTCGTAATGTTCGTTTGTCATATGTTCATTTGTGTTGTTTCCATAATAATGTTTATCGCTATACGTAGTCTTCGTCGTAGGATCACGTGATTTTGCTGACAGATATTTCTGAGGTGAAGGTTGGTCGTAATGTTCGTTTGCTTCATTAAGTATGTTGTGAAATCTGTATTTGGGAGAAGGAACGTTGACTTCTTCAGGAGCAATATAACCGAGATCGCTTGGTTGTAGATTTTCATAGTGTGCTTTCCATTGTGTGGCTTCAAAATTGAAGTTAGAGTTCTCGTTGTCCACTTTCCTCTCTTCATTTGACTGGGCATTGCATCCTCGGGGTACGGCGTAACCATTGCTAGAAATGGATGGTATCCCATCCCAGGGGCGGATCTAGGATTTTGGATACCATAGGCAAAACATTATGACGTCATTCAGTGCTAAACCTATGACGTCATACTTTGCAAAACATACTACACTATTTATGCTTTCGATAAATTGTTTAAATCAAACAGTCTAATCATTCAGCTATGCAGAATCTTGTAGATCTCAATCGTATAAATACATAAAAACATTGTATATCTATACTTACATATCACAAGGTCGTTGATTTTCACTATTCAGAATATTGAATGCACACAAGACTGTTTCTCCCCATATCAGGGCTCATCAGCATGCCTAGGAACACTTTAACGCAAAACAAAAAATCGTGATCCGGCATGGACAGCCCTGTGAGAGCCGAATTAAGCAGACTGGTTATGGCGCCAGAAGTTTGCCTACACACCTTTGAAAAAGGAGTTTGGTTAGAAATGGGTGACTATATGGGATATTTCATGGATGTGATATTGCTCAATTTTTCACACCATCCCAGTCAATTCCAACCCTTTACCCCCACCTAAAATGAGCACTCTGGTTTTGAAGGCGCCAGAAACTCGCCTTTCACACCTTTAGCAAATAGCAAAAGGAGTTTGGTTAGAAATGGGTGACTATGTGGGACATTTCATGGATGTAAGATTGCTCAGTTTCTTACACCATCCCAGTCAATTCCAACCCTTTACCCCCCACCTAAAATGTGCACTCTCATTTGCCAACAAATGAGCAGAATGTAAATGTAATGTAATAGTCAAAATAAAGCTTTGTATAAAGAGTCTTTGTGAAGACTAAAATTTGGTGTAAGGAAAAATTATTCTATTTATGCTTAACAATTTTTGTGAAAGTAAATTTATGTCCACAACGGTCGAGTACCATACACGTACTCAACAGTTTTAAGATTGGAATGTATATAGGGAAAAAAACCTTTATCGGGCGAGCTATTAGTTTGATGCAAATTCTCTTGACGTTACTATTGTGTACAACGCACAATAAATGGTTAACATATGGACATTTCAACAAAATAAAAAACTAGGATATGAATAAATTCTTGCAAATTTTAGCCTTGTATTTCCAACAGCAAAAGTATTAATAACCTCACCAATATCTGGTACAATCTCCTGATGAATTTGCATCAAGGCCAAACCATTTAAGCGTTCCCCAACCATGGTACTTCGCTGATAGTTTTTAAGTGTCCTAAGGGAAGAAATGGATCGTTCACATTCACAAGAGGTAATGGGGAGCGTTCCTAAAATACGTAGTAAAATTTTAATGTTTTCAAATCCGGCGAAATGAACAGATTTTGAAGTCTGGGCAATGTTATCAGGAAGGAGGCCGCAGTGGGTCTCCCAATAAGTGTACCACAACCTAGGTTCAGCATCTAAGGCCAAAGGATTTGGCAAATCATCATAATAAAAGTTAGCCACAGTTTTGAATGGCTCTTTCCAATCCACCCCATCTCTTGTCATGGACATCATTTTCGTCGGTACAATGCTAAGGCCTTTATAGACATTCACACTCTCAAGGTCGAATCGTGATTCTAAAGAAGACTGCAAATGATCTAGTAGAGGAAGAGTAATTGCACGTTTATAATACTCAAAAATGGTTGTGTGGGGAATATTTTCCCTGGTCGTTTGTTTGCGCACTGTTCTTGGTTTCCATTCTTCAATGCCAACTTTTGCTGCCAGTTCAAGCGCTTCGTCATACCAGGTGTCATGATAAAAATCAGATGAATTCCTCATGTTCACCACCTCAGTTTTCAAAGTTGAAATTAAATGAATACCATCCATTATATCGATACTCTTACCCTGTAATAACTGTGTTACTGGAAGAGTTGAATCAAGAATATTTCTCGTGATAACTAAAGCAATGACGAAATCAAACCTGTCAATAAGCTGAAACAAAGATGAGGCATCAGACTGAAGCGACGGTTTGAACTCACCATCTAGATTTTCAGACATATCGTTAAGGGTGGTGTATACAGGTACAAAAGGCTCTTGGAATGTATCTAAACCTTCGATACGTTCTACCCATCTAGTTTTGCAAACGTCTGTTAATCTAGTCTTTTTCGAGTTTGTTTCTGAATTACGTATATGTTTTCCAAAGGGAATATTGCGAGTTTGGGAAATTTTAATAAAATTAGTGGCATTGTTAACATGTTTCAACATATCATTGACAACACGTATACTCAAAGAATCGCAAATGGATAAGTTTAACCTATGACTATAGCAGCGTGTATAAAGAGCCTTTGGGTTAAGCTTTAAAATTTGAGCTGCTAGACCATTAGTGCAACCAGCAACTGAACCAGCCCCATCATAACCTTACCCCCTACAATCATCTATTGATAAAGTCAGTTCCTTTAGAGCCTCTAAAAGTAGCTTGGCAAGTTGAGCACCACTTAGTCCCCATTTACAAAAAAGAAATGAAATGAATTCTTCCCTGATATTCATATCGGTATCAACAAAGCGCAAAACAAGAGACATTTGTTCTTTATGTGAAGAATCAGATGCTTCATCAGCAATAACAGAAAAAAACTTACTTTTTTTGATATCAGAAATAATCTGATTACTGATTACCTGGCCACAACATTTAATGATTTTATTTTGACTTGTTTTAGAAATATAACTTCTATTCTTACCACAATTATTTAAATGATTTTCTAAAACTTTATCCCCTCTCCTAACTCCATAATTGAGTGTTTCAATGAAATTACCAACCCCTCCAGATGAATAACAACCAACAGTAGGGTGATACTTGGAATCATCACGATGCCCACGAAGAGGTAAACCTAGACGTCCACAAAAAATGACAGAATCAATAATTGGATATAGTATTTCCCTATTCTGTTCTATTTCTTTCTTGATACCAGCATCCATGATCATCTCGATAGGCTGCAGAGTACCTGATATTTGGGAAAGCAAAGCATCAAAAATTGGTTATGTGGATGCATGCAAACCGACTTCCCTCCCTTTACTTTTTCCAGCATGTTGAGTGAAAGAGCATTTAGCATTCTTCCAATCTTGAAGAGGTTCAGTAAACAACTTTTTTACTTTACTGGCCTTGCCTGGGAATCTATTGCCAAACAACACACACGATAGACAATACGCACCATTTTGTGAAAGTGAATAGCAAAGCCATTCATGCTGGTCTAGCCAATCATGCCTAAATGATCTGCCATTAGATTTAGGAAAATGATACTTTTTATCTGGTTTATATACATTTTTTATCAAATGACATCTTTCAGAATTATCCATACCCTTAACTTTCTCCATATACAAGGAAACATCAAAATTATGGGTTAAAACAACAGGTTGCATATCACCAGAAGTTGGAATACCAGGCAATAGTTCCTGGGATGATGTGTGAAGCAAAAGACTATTGGCTTTATTTAATGTCTGAGCAAGAGCTGCAGCAGAAGAAAAACTCTCATTGGGCATCCTTTTAAAAGTTGGTTGGGCAGCAGGCCTATTAGTTGAAGTAAAAAAATTTGAAATGTTAACTGTTTTTCGTGCAATATTTGGAAAAATTTTGACAAATTTTCGTTTCTCTGTTGTTGAGCTGCTAGAATTAGACTGTGTACAGGAATTAGACAATTTTCGCTTCAACCTGTGGGCATGGAAAATGAGAGGCACAAAATGATTAGACTGAAAAGTCTCACCTGGTTGTACAGATCCTTCATGACAAAACAAAATATTAATAGCATCCAAACCTCTTTGGCTTAATAACCGGGGCTGAACAATACGAATAAATAACAATTTATATCTACTTTCACCAGAATCAGGATAAAAAGTATGAATTTTTCTACCTAAAACAGAAGATAGGCCCAAAATACAAAGAAAAGATGACCATTTCTGGTCATTACAATTTAAAATAGCCTCCTGTTTTACCAGTTCATCTGTTGTATATCCAGTGTCTAAACATTCTTTAGACACTGACAAAGGCAAAAGATTGTTTAAGCTTTGGGCAAAGTAATCACTGTGCTCACTTATAACAGACAAAAAGCATGGGTGTTGAACATAAAAAGCAGCATGAATAAATAGCTCAAGCGATGTTAAAATTCGCAAAGTAGGGACCAATGCATTGTTACCTACCAGAACTAGGGAAGCTGAACTGTAGAGGCAATTGCCAGAAGTTTCAGATCTTAAAAAATATTCAAGAAAAGAAATTAATATTTTGTTTGGTAGATTGATTGCATTGTATGAATGAATTGCTGACTGTAGACAAAGATATAGCCTAGCGAAATTGAGATTTAACCATTTTACACGTATATATAAATACTACAATACGATATATATAATTATAATATATTTACCTTATTGCAGTACAAGTCTTTCCGTCATGAGCGTGCTTTGGCACATATATTTCAGCTCCAAAATTTCGACACAGAGTATGGTCGGGGTCATAAATTCTATCTAACAGCTGCTCGTTAGTAAACATAGGTCGAACGTCGACCAATAAACGAGAATAAAGCTCATTAAGGCATTTTAAATCGTTTTGGCCAACGCAGACTGAGCAGTCTCGTATAAATTACCACAACACAATGAAGACATTATAAAATATCACAAAACCGTAAACTGAGCACAGAGGCTGTTCAGAAACAATACGAGTGTATGTTAATTTTCAATTGCCTAATTTGCCTAGCTCAACTATGCTTATCAACAGCAATGATTGGTTGGAATTGCTCAAGTTAGGCAAAAAAAATTGACCAATGAAAGCATACGGTTGCAAAAAATTGCCCAATCAGAATACCTATACACGATGTCAAGTTAGGCATATTCATCTTGTTTAGGCAAATTGCTAACAACCAATCAAATGGCTAGATCGCCTTCTTGACTTAGGCAAAATGGCTGCTTTGCCTAACGACACGGAGCTTTATAGATAATCATACGCATCTGGACTACGATTCATATCAAAATTACGTCATTTAATTGCACAACATTTCTAAACAAAAGTCAGATGATTTGACTGCGATAAAGTGCTATTCATAGTTTCATAATTCGATAAATTCGTATCGAATCTAAGTCGAAGTATATTTTGGTAATTTCACCATAGGCACTTGCCTATGGTGCCTACCCCTAGATCCGCCCCTGTCCCATCCTGCAACTCTTCGTCAGCAAATTTTGCTCACCTCGCATTGTCCACGAGTAACTGGAGTTCCTCTTCCATTTCACGGTCGTAATTCATTGATAGGTCAATTGTAACGTAATGATAAGGTTCAAATGCCTTCGATGTGTCTATACCCTGACCATAGGGGAAGTCAGCAGTTTGAAGAGGAGTACCAGGTGATTTTGACAGCGCTTTGGTGAGTATACGCCGTTTTCTATCCATAGAATCGCTTAGCTCCAATTCTTCAAGCGATTCTTCCATCTCCGAATAGTATTTGGTTGATGGTGGTTTTTCAAAACTTTTAACGGGTCTATCCACGATGGTGTTGCTCGTTGTAGAAATGGGATCATCAGTCATAACCGGACATATTTCATCAGAATATACTACTTTATGAAGTCCATTTCGTTTTTTGTCGTTTTGTGCTTTTTTTCTTGAATCATTTTGAGCTGTAATCAGTTGATGGTTTTCTCTGTATAAAGGATTGGGGTGCATACACAGCATGTCTTCTTCCGAAGTCTCTGGTGCTTCAATGGTCTCTTGTGCATCTTGTGCATCTAAAATAAAATTTATTAATATAGCAGAGGCTTGCACTTCAGAAATCAAAAGGACTTTTACTAGATAACATCAATAAGTTTTAAGTCGAATTGAAACTATTGTGTTTGCCAGGACTAGCTTGCAATCTCCATAATTGGGGCGGGTGAACTCATACATCCCTATTATAACCCCTACCAAACAACTAATTTCAAAAAACCTAGGCTCGTTTAAAACGTCGAACTTTAATTTACTTTTTCTTCAATGCATTTGGCAAATGTAAAGTTACACGTTTGTAACGGGCCTTAATACAACAAAACATGCATATGAGAAAATACCCCCACTATTTATGGCTTTTGTGACACCACTGTGAGCCATAGATGAGATGTTGCTATTTTGTTGAAAGTCTAATGATTTTCAATCGTTACAGATTCTGTATGACACCAAAGAAGTAGCGTAGCCAGTCCGCAAGTTTTGGTATAGCTATCTAAATTTTAGATCATTGTTTATTTCTATAGCCATCTATTGTTTTTGCAGTGAGTGAACACAAAAAAAACTTGCATGGCGGGACCAAAAATGCCGGCTGGCTGCGTCAATGAACCAAAGTATTTTTAATTTAAAAGAAAAATATTTTAGCCGCAGCCTAAAACTTTGATGTAAATAGTTGAGTTGGGAAGCTTTCTAGGATTTGCGAAAGCAACAGCTGTAATGTGGAATCTTGTGTCTTCATGTTTTCACTACAGTAACCTCTAAAGAGCGTGCAACTAATCTTTTTGAAATTTCATATTTAGTTAATTTCAATAATAACCTGTATTCACTTGTTTGCTAGCAGATTTCCTATGAAAAAAGAGCAATACATTGTCGGTATTGTTACTCAATTGTAGTATATGTATTGTCATTTATCGAACTTACTTCAGTCTATTTCTATTCCATTTGACAAACAAGCAGACAAGCACAACCAAGACGCCAATACCACCGGAAAAGCAGGCTGCTATGGCTGTCACCTTGTTTCTGTTCATACTGTTATTAGCTGCCCATGTTCTTTCGTCCTTTAAACAGGATTAAATGCAATATCTCATAATATGTAAGAACAATAAGTTTTGTGCCATATTATTTGAATTTCTTTCGTCCGCACAAATATTTTTACTACATAGTATATATTTAATAGTGTTGTGACCAAGAACTACAGTAATTATTATTTTTTAATCTCGAAGCTTGCTACATATGTTACCCATCTTTTATTAATTTAAGGTTTTGAAAGACACATGGCCATCTCATTTCGTTATGTGATAGATATCGATGACATCGTCACTTTTTGTACAGAATATTGAAGCTTATAATGCTAGGTTGAGTTGCATGCCATTTAAAGAAAATTTAATGCTGATTAGCATTTATGTAGCAACCATGACCTAAACTTTTTAGGTTTTAAGTATAATTATTCCTAAATTATATTATGACGTCTTCATTAATTTTCTAAGTATAATCGTGCATCAATCATAAAATCTATGGATTCCTACTAGATTTTTTGAAAGTACTCACTTTTTATGCCATCAAAAATATTCAAATTAAATTATTAAACAATGCTTTTCAAAAAAAGTTATTTTTACAATTATTTAACCTAAGGGTATCAATGATAAAAATTTCTTTAATATGTTACGTTATTTAGCCTCGGTGTATCAAAAAATCATCTTTTAATTTTTATTAATCGATTGTAAGGAGTAAGGTGCTTTTAATTTTGACAATGTACTTTTTAAAAATGACTATCGATGTCAAACGAGAAAAATATGCTAATTTGTACGCAACATCATAGTTACAAATCGCTTAATAGTATGCACAATATGAAAACATATCTTTATACTATACAGTAAATATATATAGCGATGTGCATGTCAAAAAACTGTTCACATGCATCAGAGCTCAGGAATCTTATTGACCCAAATGTAGCCAATGGGTGATGAAACATTGTATTTAACGCAATTAACGTTCAAAAAATATTAAAAAGAAAATAACATAGAAACCTCTTACTTCTCCTTTAACAGGACACAATAATTATCACAAACATAAGACTTGCTTTCGAGGAGAATTATATTAAAAGCATTTACTATTCTCCAAGAACTTGATTATAGAAATCGGTCGAAAGATCAAACAATGCCCCATAGTTAATGAGTCCACTTCATTCTTGCAATGGAATTTATGATTTGGAGTGCAATTCAGACGATGGTAAATAATTATCTTTTCTAACTCAATTACATTTGTGTTTATACAGAATTTGCTTATTGCACTTTTCTTGCATTATTTTTTTGTCTAAACGAAGAAAATATGATTTAAATGTGAAATTTGAGATTTATCGGACATTGTTTGCATTGTTAGATTTCTATAGGCACAATTACAACTTCAAAAATCTTACCTTTAGTTTATTCATAGAATTTCCATAAGGGATGCTTGTAATAGAGTTCTGCGTTTCGTTTAGATAGCTCGAAATAGAGTGCATTCTTGATCATTCTGGAACATTACTTTTGACTCTGACCAATTCAGATAACAAGCATTTTCGCCTGTCAATTCAGGGAAATAAAAACGAAAACAGCTCTTCTCGCATAACGCTCTATTCAGATGCGCGACTAGCTTTTCAAAATGATAGCATCCTAAAAGGAACAAATAAAATTTTAATAAATAATAACTTAAAGAGCTCCGCCGTTATCCCATGTGGTCGGATGAAGTATATGCAACTTTAGTTTGTAATGATACGTCATAAATTATACGCGTTATTACTGTCAAAAACATTACTTATACATGGACTCAACATAACGCAACAATACTTATTGATTTACGTGAGGAACTTTTGCCAAGATCCCTTACTGCACGTAGCCATTACGCCATAAATTTTTATGTAAACTACAAAGAATTTTTCAGAGTTCTCGATCATGTCATTACTATATAAAGGTTATATTACGCTAAGGGCAGAGACGTAACTAGAACGTTAATTAGGGGGGTGGTTGTATTCATATATTCAGTTGTGCCCTACTGATTTCTTTTGAAATTCAATTCACTTTCAAAAGAAATCAGAAGGGAACAACGGAATATGTGAATATGCACCCCCCCCCAACCAATTAACGTTTACGTTAGACCTCTGGCTAAGGGAAGTATAGAAAAATTGTCAGACTACAATTTTCAAAACCTCATACATGACACGTGTCGGCGGAAAACACCAATTTACGTACATCTTTTCCATTTCTTTATATGCTATTCTTATGTACACTCCAACTTAAAACAACGTATTTTCAACATGCTTTGCGTCCTCGAGTCCTTGATATCATATAATCACAGTGATGAATAGAAATTTTACTTTCTTCTCTATAGTAAGCCTATAGCTATATTAATACTTGCTTTAACTATTCCTGAAAACAAAATCGATACGTCAGAAATAATCAGAATAATCAAAAATATGAAAGTCTATTGAAGTGTCAACGTATCATTTTGTTAATTTTTTTCTATACCGTAAAGACAATGCGTTTTGGTGATTTATTTTTAAATGTATGCAAATTTACAAATGATAATGATTTCATGCACCGTTCAATAAATATGCATATAGTGCATACAATGTAAGTACAGTAATAAAATTTCAAAATAAACGAAAGATAATTCAATTGCGTTTAGATTATTCTTCAGATTACTGCATAACGATTAAATTGTTTTATTAATGGTTTAAGGACATTTCGGGGACCAACAACCAGTAGATCGGACCAAGTTTTGACTTATCCAAATATCTATTTATAAACAGGATAATTTACTTGAAAATTGAAATCTATACCCCCATGTAATATCTCATTAAGACAGTGTAACTTTTTCAGCCCAGCACGTCTGTTTTTTGTGATGATGTGATTGTATTTTACACTTCTTACTTATTTGATTATTTGATTATAGCAAACATCAATCAAAGATTCAATCAGACATTCATCCAGAGACAAAGTCCTGGAATCTCTTCATTGAGAACTGATAAATACGCTGTCATTACTATTGCGACATCAAACATCACATTGGATATACAAAATGGAAATCCATTTTATGTTAATTTTTGTTAATTTTATGTTTATGTTTCACCACATATTGAAACCACTTATCAGACAGCAAGTAGGAATCACGAGACATTTAAATAAAATAATGAAAAGCGGATAGATATTACCTCTAGGGTGTGGGCAGGGCCAAAAAACTCTCGATATTTGAAAGGGAAAAGGTGCAGCAAGGCCCAAAAAAGTCTCGATCTTTGAAAGGGAAAAGGTACATGTTTTTTATAGAAGCCAAAAATACATTTGTTATCATGAAAGGGACCATAGCATCGACAAAACTGAATTCTCATCGTTTCCAAGGGTTTGTCACTGGCATGGTGACTGTCGGCGCTATTGAAAGTGATACCGTGTGGGCTGAGGTTAGTTGACTATAACTTGTGTGGTTAGTGCTGTAAATATCTTACTCCAGAGTGCGTTCGCTAGTGCCGTTTTACAGGGATGAAACTTCCAAGAAAATTAGCCATTGCTACACGAATAGTAATTATTCAACAATCTACAGTTTGATTTAGTTGGTTAATAAACAATCTTATGATTCCTTGTCGATTTATGTAAATCGAATATTCCATTTGTTTATTTACAAATCCGGTGAAATTTTTCTCTTTTTCCAAAAATTGTTCTAGCTTTGTACATTCCCGAACTGACAAACTTGGATTTGTAATTGTGATCGAATTTCGCCTTTTGATAGCATTTGACTAGACATATATTTAATAACATGCATGGATAATTTATAGAATAAAACAGTTTGACCATATTTTTTCTTACCAAATGCTTTCACAAGGTCTTCGTCTTTGGAGCACGTTCCGGCCATATATCAGGAAAAACGAGAAATGTTCAACGGTTAGGACATGGGCATACACGGCAGGAATTGTCCGAACATTTAACATTTTGCCTTTCGCATTGCTGCATAGTGCATCTGCTTTGTTTTGAATCGCATTCGATGTTCCTAAACTCATCATCAGTGCCTCTCTGCAAATCGTATCCGTCCTACGAACTGACAGCAAAAGAAACGCGTATTTGTGAGGATATACATAATAAAAAAATGAAGTTCCGTGGGCCAAATGACATTGTAATCCTTATAGCATTCGCCTACAAGAGTTGCTTGCTTGTCAAAACGAGTTAAGAATGTTTCTGCTGACGCTGAATTTAAAGCAATTTAAAAAAAAGCACCAAAAATGATACTCGACACTTTTTAGTACAGTTCATAAATAAGCGTGACCCATGTGCTTTTGCGGAAGCCTTATTTTGGAATTGACAAGAAGTCGATGTCGACTTATAAATGCTACACCACATCCTTTAATTTGTCTTATGATAAGAGTAGTTTTGCTTTTGTAAATTTCAAGTGGCGAAACGAAGCACAAAGGAAGGTCACGGAAACACTTTTGTGTCTTTTGTACTTTGAGCACTACGCCGACAAATATTCAAGAGTCAAATAGCTGTACAAAATAATGGGCATTGTGAGCAGTCTATTTTTATTATGATTTTGGTTTCAGTTCCCTATCATGAAAACTTCATCATTATCGATGTCTTAGGCGATGTAAATTATGTAATATTATAATATTAGAAGACTTGTGAGTCACGGAGTTTCCTGCTTGTGTTTTAGAGTGGATTGTGTCGAGTCCTCTAAGACAAACTACAAGTGTTGCGTCTTGTGATGCATCGAGTGACTGACATTAATACAAATGATATGACACAAATAATCTATTTCCATAAGTACTTAAGAATTTTCAGGCGTAAGTAATTGTCATTCCGCAATGTTATCCCCGCTTCGTCCACATATAGGCAAGTGCCCTCGTGAATAGGACAGTCAAGTTTTTCTGAAAGTGCACATCAGGCGTAATTTTTATGGCAGGATTTTGCCGAGTCTTTAGTATTCCATCTGCGGTCAGGCATAATAAAGGGTCTTGCAAAGGGAGACAACGAAAGACGTGCTACGACAAAAAGTAGCAACATGGCAATAATAAAATCTAAAATGCATAAAAACATTGATATGTATATATTAAATGCTCACTGTGCACAGTATTCTTTCTATGCTCACTATGTAATCATGCACAAGTAAATTGTAGAATGTGGTTGTCACCTACTCCATGCATTGCTCGCTCAAATCTTTACGACATATAAATATGGCTAATATGCCGAGATTTTACATAAAGGTGTACAAAACTTTTCTAATCAATGAAAAGACGTTTCACGATGAAATGATGTCGTTGAAAGAAGAACACCAAAATGAAATATAAGCATATTCAGTTTCATTACTAATAAAACTATTGTGTGTAATAACATATAGAGTATGGAACACCCACAACTTTTAAAAGCTTATAAAACCAGTCAGCATAGTGGTTGGTTTAGCAATGAAACTGCTTGATGTTAGTAATTAATTAAAATCATACACAAAATAATAGAAGAATTAAAACATCAGGTAAATAAATTTCCTGTCCTTATTAAATTTATACTAATGCCTTACTTGACTGGAAAAAAACTAGTTCTATCCAGGCAGGTGAAATCTCAAAAGTTTAAAAGGAATGGAAAAAACTTGCATCAGATCCAGACATTTTACAAATGATTTCCAAATATGCTTCCAAAGGCAGAAGCCAACCTCATTGATTCAGCTATTAAAGAACTGTTGACGAAAAACGTTGTCTTCCATGCAATAGAGACTTGGTTGAATTTGTTTCCCCTATTTTTACAATGCCAAAGAAAGATGGCAAAAGTAGGCTGATTTTAAATCTTAAAAAATTAAATGAATCTGTACAATATTACCATTTCATAATGGACAATATATACATACTGCTCTAAAGCTCATCTCAAAATACTATTGTATGGCATCATTAGACTTAAAAGATGATTATTATAGCTTCCCAATCCATCCTAATTTCCAAAAATTTCTAAACTTTTCATATAAAAGTAATTTATGCAAATTTACTGTTTTCCCTCTTCTTGCTCTAGAAAGTTCGCTAAACTGTTCAAACCCGTACTAGCTTCGCTACGGAAGAAAGGGCACATTATTTTAGTTTATGAAAGAATGTTTTATGCATTGCGGTGTTTGAAATTAAATGAAGATATGATCTTCGCACTTTGCTGAACAATTTAAGCAATTGTCTCATGAGCCTGAAAAATTCAGGTGACTCAACGGGATTCGAACCCATGACCTCTGCGGGTCCCGGGATTCGAACGGATTCGAACTCAACGGATTCGAACGGATTCGAACTCAACGGATTCGAACGGATTCGAACTAAACGGATTCGAACGGATTCGAACTCAACGGGATTCGAGCCCATGACCGCAGAGGTCATGGGTTCGAACCCCGTTGAGTCACCTGAATTTTTTAGTTTCATGAGACGATTGCTTAAATTGTCCAGCAAAGTTCGAAGATCATATCTTCATTTAAT